TTGTTTTATTTATTCAGTCTGCACATAATATTCTAAATACTCACAGTCAACAGAATTGAAAGTAGCTTTAGACTAGCAATTTCTAGCCTTTATATAGAACGTTTCCTTTTTGAATCTAAAATCACTGCACTGATTATGTTTTTTTCAAAGCAAATCCACAGCTGAGAGGGTTAGGGCCTAACTGGTTTAAGGGACGTCTTAGTGACTCACACAGTACTTAACTAGGGAAAAATTCAGAAGGTGAGCTGTAGGTTTTTCTTTTAACCTTTCACCTCTGAAGCACTAAGGATCGCTATCCACAGGACAATCTTATTCTAATACATGAAAATTGCAGGCTTTCTGGAGAGATTTAATTAAAAGCAGCGGCCACCACCGAAACCCGGCTTGCATTGTGAGTTATACCTGGATCATGCTGTGGATATAATCCTTTCCTTTGGACAGAGTTTCATTAGCATGCAGCCCTTCGTGCTGATTAACCTAAGGAAAAGAAGGCAAATCGTGAGCTTCTCGTCAGTAACACAGGAAACACCTTTCTGTAGAACGTAATACGCCCACAGGGGATCACGATAGGCAACGTGATGCCACGCTGCCACCTAGCGTCACCCGTTTTATCCCTGGGATAAATGGTCTTTTTTTTCTTTTTTTTTTCTTTTGAACAGTAGGGCCAAGAGAACAGGAGCGAGGGACCTCGAGAGCCACGGTGCCTGTTGAGGGATTCAGAGATCCCAGCCCCGGGGCTTCCTTCTGGGGACCCTTCCGCAAGGCTGGCACCCAGGGCCGGGCTAGGATACGGCATTCACCAGCTTCGGGGGCACAGCGCTGCTCTGAGCCCCCTCAACCCTCTCCACGGTTGTGCCCTGCATCTAAAACAGTTGCAGTCGTTCCTTACATTACATCCTAAAATAGACAGGGAAGTGTTCGTGATATTTACATAGTAAGGTCATTTACGAAATACGAAACAACAATGTCATTTAACTGTGCCTAATGTAGCAGGTAGAAATAAAAGAGTACTTAAGCACCCCAGAGCTAGATAATTATCCGTGGCTTACAGCAAAGGCCTCGACAAAAGGCACGACGCGATTGCCTGGTAGAAACGCCGTATTGCCAGTACTTGGCTCGGATAGCCAAGTCCGAACTCTCTCGCTAAAGCTTAGGAAGTTTCCACACAGGGGAGTCTAAGCAAGCCTGGACCCTGGAATCACTGGAGATGGGGTAGTGCCTTCCCAACCTATTCCCACGTTCCCAGGCACATGAAGTCCTCCAAGCAGCTTTTTTTTTTTTTTTCCATTGTCATTTGCCGTAAAAACCGATAACATTTATCAATAGCAATGGAGTATAACAGCTCTAAAAAGTACACATTCTCTACTGCCATGAATAATCTAACAAATTGGCCGAGCTCTATGAGAAACCTCAGCGTGCTTGCTTAGGCTCGCTTCAAGTGCAACTAGTCATCAGTATTCTCGACAGAAGGGTTTATTTTTTTGAAACAAACAAGCCAGAATGCATTATATTGCACTCAATCTGAAGACATAGATGCTGCTAGTAGTGGGTTGACAGATTTTCACATGTAAAAAGGCCATAACCCCTATTTAAATTTCACCTTCAGCCACAAGAATGGGAATTACTACAATAAAGTAACCTGAAACCTTTTTGTGAGATTTTTATATAATTATACTGGTTTCCCACAGTTAAGACTATGAATAAGCTTCTGATAGTAAGCTCTCGGTGTTCTTTCTGACACAGTGAAGGGATTCTTTACAAACCTTTCAAACTGAAGAAACTGAACTGAAGGAAAACTCTTAAGACACGGTGGTTCGTAACAGGACATGTTCTTCAACTGGAAAAATTGAAGGAGTGGCACCTTTGTAATACACCTCCAGATCATATGCCTCCAGCAAGGAACAAATTAAAAGGAAAACCAAACAGAACTGTCACATCAGGACCATCTCCCATTACCTCAGGCTCTTTCTAGTTACAAACATTTCCAAAAGCAGTTGTTCCTCTTCTGAACTGAAAATCTACCTGAAAACTTTTCAGAAATTAAAACTGAATTTTTCAGAAAGTTTCACTGGAAAACATTAATACTACAAAAAATTGTGCCACGGCCATAAAATACACACATTGCCTTTTATGTGTATAAATCTATGCATGCATATAATGTAAATGTTTTGTATAATGTATTTTTATATTGCATATTTATATTGCTGTATAACAATACATAAAACATAAAAATAGGAAGGTTTCGACATTGTGTTTATGTACATGTTACCTGTATCCAGATCTTTCTGAAAGGAGTTTTAATGCTGGTAAGATTCATGTGTATGTTTGATCAGAGTTTAGCATATCTGCTAGTGTTTTGGAATATGGAAACTTCAACTATTCTTCCAGAATCAAAAAGAATGAAGTTAACTTAAAAAGCATGAACACTTGGGTTTTTTTTACTTTTGTAACTGAACAACAGTAATTTAGAGAGACATTTCTGCCCATGTTATTTTTATTTTCTTGATAGAAGACAAAGCTCACTGATGTGACAGCTTGCTAATGACACTGTATTATTCAATATAATAGAAACAGAGCTGACTGAAAAACTGCAGAAGGGCATTATGGAATCAATTAACTGGTGAATACAACAGTCAATGAGATTCAATGTAGATAAAAGAACATACATAGGACAAAATTTTAATTTCGCATATCAAATAACAGACTTTGAACTGACCAGAGTAAGATCTCAGAGGTATGACAGATGTTTCTACAAAAATGTCAGCCCACTGTTCAGCAGTGGTTAAAAAGACAAATCAAATGGCATATGAAACGGTTCACGGAAGAGCAGAAAGATGGAACAGCTTTCACTTAAGGGATGGCTAAGTAGACCTGGGAGAGAGAACTGGAAGGGAGTCTGCATGACAGTGGCCTAGATGAGGACAAAATGTTTGTTGCCTTTTCCAGTACAAGGATTGGGGACATAAACCAAAGCTATAGGAATTGGGTTCAAAAGAAAAAAAAAATAATAAAAGGAGGGGGTTCTTCAGACAATGGCTATTTGAGCTCTAGAAGTACTTGCCAAAGGATGTTGTGGACAATGACATTTTAAATGGGTCAATAGGAGACTGAACAAGTTTATGCAAGAGAGATCAGCTTTATTTCCTTATCCTTGTTTAAAGATTTCCTAATTCATCATTTTTTATATTCTGCCTTTCTTTCTTTCATCAGACCATGACATTCCCTTTAAGACATTCTCATACATGCCATACAGTTTATTTCCAAACAGAAGGCTGACAGAGTGGCATGCTAAATAAATACTTCTAATTATGCTAATTTCTAAAAGCTCCATCGTATTGCCTGGAAAAAGTTGTTGATAGCTGCTCTAAGCTAGCTATGAGACCTTGATTGCAGGGAATGTGTCCTTCATGCCACAAATGTTTACCCACAAGTCAGCAGAAGATACTACTAGCATAAATAAACGTGCAAATATTTGCAAGAACATAATTGTAAAGTGGCCTCTAACAAACTTAACAGCATACCATATGCATAATTAACGGTGAGTCTATATCATCTGTAAAATTATTGTTGTGTATCAGTTGTGGCTTAACCATGGCCATTTTCCTCCCCAGACTGTACTGTATTTAGGCAGGAGTGACGACAATAAAGAGGATACATGACTGAAATTTGTTTTGGTACAATGTCTTTATACAATACAACTAATGGGAGTGAGAAAGCAGTCAGGAGAGTATCTTCTATCTAGTTTCAAGCTACAGGGAGATTTCCAATATGCAACCGGTAAACTTCCAACGCCACCTATTTGCAGTAGCCAAGATGAGCACCAGGCAACGCTCACGTGCTTCGCTCCCCACAGCTTCAGTTCGGGTGACTCCAGCTCAGGACCAGACCGCACCAGGCCGGCCCCTGTCGTCGTCGTCGCCCCCTCCCCGCCCCGAGGCACTGGCAGGGCCAGGATGAGCTGAGGTGTCTCATATCCCACTGCTGTACTCCCGAGTTTTCCCCTCACCTTCCTCAAGATGAAAAGCTCTCCCCGGACCACCAGCAGAGACACCCGTGGGCCTCGGCCCCCCTCCTCAGGCCCCCTCAGGCCGCCC